AGGAAGAGCGCCTTCTCCATCAGACCTGATAGAGATCATGATGTCACCACTGCAATTAATCAACATAATCTTGGATAATTTGAACAAAAAAATAGAAGTAGAAAAACCAAAATATAATAATAATTAGAAAAACAAGGAGTCTAACCTTGACTCTTCCTCAGTTAAGTCGTCTGTCCCTCCCAAAATTACACTTGTGCACACATTGCTTCAACAGAAGTTAAATCATAAATGCGTTTGTTAATGATCACCAAATTGCACGTAATCAAAGTTAAATGCAGACCTTAGAATCTGATCAAGTTCGTCGGGAGCTCTAGGCAGTCTTAAAGTCAAAATTATGGAAAGTGCCAAGCCAAAAGTCTTCTTGTAGGTGGAAGATACATTGTCTACCTGAAAATAAATTAAGGTAATGTTACATATGAAATACGTAAGTCTATTAATTGGGAATATCAGTTTCACAATAAATATCCAGAGTTTAAACCTAATCCAGCAAACATCAAGTGTAATTTAATCCTGGTTGCTTCAAAACATAAGTTGAATGATTCAAATAATCAAAAGATAACAGAACATGATTTACGAATTACCATTCCACAGTGACTAAATGCTCCACTAACCCTGTCTAGCCAGATGTCAACCAAACAAAGAAGTATATTTTCATCAACTGGAGCACCAGCCTGCTGCATTAGCAATGAGAGAGGTGGGTCTGATGTTAATTGTGCAGGGAAGTTTGTATTCATCACTAAAATCCTCGCCAGTATAGCAGCCGACGATGCCTTAACAGCTGTCTTAGAAGGATCATGATCATCTCCTCCACTAAAGCAAATAACAAGAAATTTCTGGCAACATTTAACAAGACATACCAACTGAATGAAATGACTCCAAATTAAAAAATAAATTTGTAAATGCAATAATGAGAACAGAAACTATCAAAGATCCATACAAGACAAAGAGTCACACTTGCTTGTAAAGTACTGCTGATCAATTGAGGCACTTCCACATGGAAACACTACAAAATAGGAAGGAAATGTTGTGGACAGTTAGCACAACCATAGTCTCTTAAAGATCATCTACTGCAGTGGTGATTCTGTATCCAAAGTTACTTGCTGAACCAACTCCCTACTCATCCAAACAGAAAGACATATTACAAAGTGGCAAATGGAATGGTGTGCACATATTTGTGACAGGGCATTCATGTTTAAGCCTTTTAACTGTTCATGTGATGTAATTAATATTGAAGATTTTAATACACACACTTTGTAACAGCTTCTTCAAAATGCAGACTCTCATCTCACATGATGTATTCTTCAGGAAAGATTATGCTCGAATGATACAAAGTTCAAGTACCTGTATTAGAATGTCAATGACAGGAAGAGTTGAATTAAGCCCTCTGTCATTCACACTTCCAACAATGAGATCTAGAAGCTTAGCTACACTGGCAACATGCATGCTCAGGAATTCTCTTCCACCCAAGATAATGTAACTCTCAAGAATATTGATGGCAACCTGCAAATGTATTCAAGCCAATAAGATACAATAAATTGGGAAGAAATAGTGGACGATAGATTAATGTAGCGATGCCACATAATGCAGACCAAAACCAAAGAACATACAAGTCAAGGAGTGCATAAAGAGACCACGAAGAAGGACATGATATCTTGGCTTATATTCTTTACATTCTAGTACACACTTCACCATTACCATGCACTGAATAAGGAATTGCTCAAAGGACATAATATCTGGCTTAGTATCTGTTATCTTATTTAAACAGAAGTTCATCACAAGTGGAAGAACGCGTTTGTCACCAAATAAAAAGGGATGTCTTCCCTGAATTGCATTTAAAACATTTATCAGTTTTGTACGTGCTCTCT